TCCTCCTCCTCTTCTTTCTCATTTGAAATGTTGAGCAGTGCAGCAGGACTCCTTCCTGTGTTTTTGTCCCACTTTGCGTTTGTCCTGCAAAGAATATCTCCACTCCTCCTCCACCTCTGTTACAAACAAACAAAGCAAACCAAACCCTGACAATGTTAATGTGTGTTCAGCTTTTCAGTCTCACGTTTCCCTTTTTTTTTTTTTTTTTTTTTTCTGCAGCCAGAGTGTTTTAGTTTCCAATTTGTAATTATCTGGCTGTAATGAGGTCACATCAGTTTGTGATTCACCAGGAGAGAAGAGAACCAATTCAACATCAGCAGAAACTCTGCTTTCAGGAGCCACCAGGACTGTGAAATGATCTGGAGGTGGTTTTCTGTGGCAGTTTATCCAGTTCTGTTTGCTGCATGTGAGAACAGATGTTGCCAAGGTCGTGTTTTTTTTATTTATTTATTTATTTATTTATAAAGTGGCTGACTCTGAGAAATCTGAGCTGAAGGTTATTTACTGGAATTGATTTTTGGTTGATGTGTTCTTCACCCTTTCTGTCTTTTTTATTTTCCATAAGAAAAAAAAACAAAAATGTAATTTCTGTTTAATGAGGCTCCATTAATGGGGCACATTTCTCCTTATTGCATCAGCAAATAGAACTATGGTGGGTATATTTAAAATAAAATCTAGCTGTGCGTTTAAAGGAGGATATACGCTGCACCGGATGCAGAATCCACTCGGTGCCAATTGGATTTGAGGAGCTGTGAGTGATTTGTAATTCAATTTGTTTTGCTTTTCCCCTCCTCAGAAATATTGGACAGTCGAAGAAGATGAACTCACACCAGCTCATCCCGAAACCACACAGGTCTGACACCTCCACACACACCAGGCACCAAGTGTAAGATATGTTTAAATATGTCACTAACGCATTTTTACTGTTTTGCTCACTTTTTAATTACTAATCAAAAAGATTTTATTGTTGTTTCACTCACTATTCTTACATTTAGATCATTTTTACTAAATGGTAAATTAAAATTTTAAATGTTATGTTTAAATGTCACTGAGGTGGTCAAAAACCTCCTCGGTGGCAGGGCCCCGGGGGTGGATGAGATCCGCCCGGAGTTCCTCAAGGCTCTGGATGTTGTAGGGTTGTGTTGGCTTACACGACTCTGCAAAATTGCATGGACATGGGGGAAAGTACCCCTGGATTGGCAGACTGGGGGGGCAGTACCCCTGGATTGGCAGACTGGGGGGGCAGTACCCCTGGATTGGCAGA